GGAGGTGTGCAGGAGGCGGCTGATCGATGTTTCTCTCCCATCGATGTTTCTAACTCTCTATCCCTCTCCCTTCCTTTCTGTAAAAAATCAATAAAATATATTTTAAAAAAATTATTCCCACTAAAAATGTTTCAAGTACAATATCCAGAAAACAGCCAAAGATAACCAAGACATATAGGAAACAAGACATAGGGGAACAGAAGCAATAGTCAAAAGAAACTAACCCACAAAGAAAGACTTCTAATATTGTAATTGTTAGGCACAGACCATAAAATAACTACGCTGACAATGTTCATAAAAATAAAAACTTGGAACTTCTGGCAGAGAACTAAAACTGAAAAGAGATAAAACATATTTGAAAAAGAATGAAAACTTTAGAACAAAAAAGTTACAGTAACTGAAATTAAGATCTTAAATCACATGCTTATGAGTAGATTAGAAAGAACAGAAGAGAAAATTTAATTAACTAGATGGGAAGTTAGAAGAGACTACCACCTTTTTAGTTCTCTATGCTGCATTCAGGAAAACACAGAAGACATTCAACTTCAAATGAAGGAACACTGGCACATCCAAGAAAGTGGAAAAAAATGGAGCAGCAACAGCATTTGGAGATAAAACTAAGAAGCTGTGAGAGCCAATAAAATAAAAGTCCACAGATTCTAGAAGCTCAACATAATCTTGCATCAGGATAGAAAAAAAAAGTCACTCCTAGACACATATTAAAGTATAAAAAAAAAATCTCAAAAGCAATTAGAGAAAAAAAGACTATCATTAAAGGAATGACAGAACATCAGTTAACTGTTTAGCAGTAACAACAGAAACTAAGAGTAGACTAATATCATAAATGTGCTGGGGGGGAAAATAATTGCCAATCTAAAATTCTAAACCCAGTGAAAATATCCATTAATAATAAAGACAAAGGATATTTTCATACAAAACAAATAGGACAAATCTGCTCTAAAAAAATTCTAAAGATGCTTCATGCAGAAGATTCCTTGATAGAAAGAAAGAGGTGTAGAAAGGAATAAAGATCAAGGAGCCCAGCTGGTGTGGCTCATTGGTTGAGCACGACCTATGAACCAGGAAGTCATGGCTTGATTCCCAGTCAGGGCACATACCTGGCTTGTGGGCTTAATTCCCAGTGTGGGACATGCAGGAGGCAGCCAATTAATGATTCTCTATCATCATTGATGTTTCTATCTCTTTTACCCTCTCTGAAATCAATAAAAATATTTTTGGAAAGAAATAAAGAATAAAACCCAGAAACAAACCCACAAATATAAGATAAAGGTGAGAAAGTGATTCAGCAGAGAAAGGATAGTCTTTTTAAAAATAGTGCAACTGGATATCTATGTGCCAAAAAATAGACTTTGATTCATACCTCAAAAACATAAGCAAAAATTTACTCAAAATGAATCATAGACATAACTCTAAAAACCTAAAAATACAAAGTGCCTAGAAAAAAAGCATAGAAAACCTTTGTGACCTTGGAATAGGCAAAAATTTCTTAACTACATCATTAAAAGCGTGATCCATAAACAAATTTGGCTTCATAAAAATGAGAACTGGCCCTGGCTGGTTTGGCTCAGTGGATAGAACATCAGCCCACATGATTATAGCAACTGCTTCAGAAGAAATCATTCAACTAAATCTAATACCCTTTTTTGATAAAAACTCTCAGCAAAGTGAGAATAGAAGGATCATACACAATAAAAGCCATAAATGACAAAACTATAGCCAACATCATACTCAACGGGCAAAAACTAAAACCATTTCCCCTAAGAACAGGAACAAGACAGGGATGCCCACTTTCACCACTCTTGTTTAACAGTACTGGAAGTCTTAGCCATAACAATCAGACAAGAAGAAAAATATAAAAAGCATCCAAACTGGAAAGGAGGAAGTAAAACTGTCATTCGCAGATGACATGATATTGAACACAGAAAACCCTTTAGACTCCATAAAAAAAATACCAGGTTTAATAAATGAATTCGGCAATGTAACAGGATGTAAAATTAACATCCAGAAATCTATAGCATTTTTATACACCAATAATGAACTCTTAGAAAGAGAAGCTAAAAAAACAATCCCACTTACCATTACAACAAAAAATTTAAGATACTTAGGAATAAACTTAACCAAGGGGGTAAAAAACCTGTACTCAGAAATCTACTGGCTGGCGTGGCTCAGTGGTTGAGCATTGACCTATGAACCAGGAGGTCATAGTTCGATTCCCAATAGGGCACATGCCTGGGCTGCAGGCTCAATGCCCCAGTGTGGGGTGTGCAGGAGGCAGCCAATCAATGATTCTCTCTCATCATTGATGTTTCTCTCTGTCTCTCTCTGTCTGTCTGTCTGTCTCTCTCTCTTTCTCTCTCTCCTTCCCTTCCTCCCTCCCTCCCTCTCCCTTCCTCTTTGAAATCAATAAAAATATTTTTAAAAAACACAAAAAAGAAAACTACAGGACATAGAAAAAAGAGACAGAGGGGGAAAAAAAACAAGTGGAAGAATATACCGTGTTCATGAATTAGTAGAATCAACATCATTAAAATGTTCATATGACCCAAAGCAATCTACAGATTCAAAGCAATCCCTAGTAAAATACAAATGTCATATTTCACAGATCTAGAACAAACACTCCAAAAATTTATATGGAACCAAAAAAGACCCTGAATGGCCACAGCAATCTTGAGAAAGAAGAACAAAGTTGGAGATACCAAGTTATACTACAAAGACACTGTACTCAAAACAGCCTGGTACTGGCACAAGAACAGGTATATAGATCAATGGAACAGAACAGAGAACCCAGAAATCAACCACTATGCTCAAAATAATATTTGACGCTATGCTCAATTAATATTTGACAATGGAGTAAGGACAATCTCTTCAGTTAATGGGGTTGGGAAAATTGGACAATGCAAAAAATGAAACTAGACCACCAACTTACACCATACACAAGAATAAAGTCAAAATGGATAAAAGACTTAAATGTAAGACATGAAACCATAAAAATCTTAGAAACCATAGGCAGCAAAATCTCAGTAATATGTTTACCGATACATCTCCAAGAGCAAAGAAAACTGAGAAGAAAAAAAATGGGACTACATTAAAATAAAAAGCTTCTGCACAGCAAAAGAAACCATCAACAAAATGACAATATTATTTACTACAATGTTATTTATAAAAAAATAAATAAAAGCAAACTAGATATTCATCAATTAGGAACTGGTAAATAAATTCTGGTAACATACAATGTACCAGGAAGACAAATGAAATATTATGTAGATGTAAATATAAACAATAATGCTCTTCATGTACTGATTATGAATTATCTCAAAGACATATTTGTATATTAAAAATCAAGTAGAGGACAGTACATAATTTTCACTGGGAAAAGTATAAATGCACATAATTTCTTGTTTATGTATAAATGCTTTCCTAAGAAAAAATACAATAAACAAAAAATATTTGTTGACTTTAGGGAAGGACCAGAATTATTAAAGTTAAGTGAATATGTTCAATATATATGCATTTAAATAGGAAAATTCAACTTTGTGAATGTCTAACAGTATCAATATTTACATTAAAATGTAAATTCAATAATATCTAAAATGAAAAAAAAGGAAATAAAGAACCAATTTATAATCTTGAAAACTGGTAAGTAAATGGTAGGAATCAAGAATAAATGCTGCCTTTCCTGAAGGAATTATACTGCTGCCTATCTAAATGATAGATAAGGGACTAGTATTCCAACCAATAAGTGAAAAAGATATGATAGAAATACAATACCACTATTTTGCAACCTTCAGTGAATAGATATATAGGCATCAAGTAGCACCAGCTGCTAAGATCAGGAAGAGAGAAACAAGGACACATTATGCACTTCCTATGGTCTTGCCAACCACCATTTCCAGCTGTGGGCAAACTACGCCCGGCGGGCCGGATCCGGCCCAACAAGGACACATTATGCACTTCCTATGGTCTTGCCAACCACCATTTAGACAATTGCCAAGGGGATGACTAAGTCTGATCCAGTCTGCAACCCAACTACTAATGTGCAGGAACTACCCAAGGCAGATGAACATATGAACTAGACCTGATTATACAATCAGCAAAATCCAGACTGTAAGATATACAGGTCAATTGACTCAGGTTCTTTATCAGAAAACAAAATTGTAAGAAAAAGAAAGGAACAGAGAAAAACTATGAATTAAACCTTTTTTAAAATTTTTAATGGGCAAAACTACATAATATCTAGGAAAAGGCATTTATGAAAAAAATGTTTTTTAAAACACAAAGAAGCAATTACTATAAAAGTAAGAATGGCTACTAATGAAAGTAGTTGTGCTTGGGATGGGCCAACAGAGCAGCTGTGGCATGGCTTGTACAGTACTGTTCTACACCCTGACCTACATGGTACTGTCTTTCAATAATTCATTAAGCTATGCATCTGGTATGTGTGTTCTACTTGATTTTATAATAAAACTCATTTTACTATTTAAAAAATTTATTAAGTAATAATAAAAGTAAAGGAAATACCAAAAGAAAGCCTGGTATAATTTTATAGCCAAACTGCCTGCGTTTGAATTGTGGATTCTGCCACACAGCCAGGAAAAGTACTAATCTCTCTGTGCCTCATTTCTTTATCATGAAGTGAGAATAGTAAGTGTTTAGCTCATAGGGCAGTTGTGAAGATTAGGGGAGTTAATATACAGGCACACCTCAAGAGATATTGCAGGTTTGGCTCCAGACCACCATAATAAAGCAAGTCATACAAATTTTTTGGTTTCCCAGCATATATAAAAGTTATGCTTACACTATACTCTATTAAGTGTGCAATAGCATTATGTCTAAAAAAATGTACATACCTTAATTTAAAACACGTTATTGCTAAAAAATACTAACCATCACCTGAGCCTTCAGAGAGTTGTAATCTTTTTGCTGATAAAGGGTCTTATTTTCAATTTGTAAAAAATACAATATCTGCGAAGTGCAGAAAGATTAAGTGCAATAAAACAAGGTATGCCTGTAGAAAGGAAACAGAACAGTGCCTGGCACATAGCAGGACAGAGGTGGTGATTAGAGTTAGTGGGTGATCAGCTGTGTTAACTTAGATATTTAACCTCTCTGGGCTTCAATTTCCTTAACTGAATTTAAAATATCTACCTGATAGGATTATCAGGAGGTCAAAAGGAAATATATGTATTATACCCAGTATGGTAGTCAATAAACAATAGATTTGCCCTGGCCTGTGTGCTCAGTGATTAGAGCATCAGCCCCTACACTGGGTTCGATTCCAAATCAATGGCACATACCTGGGTTTTTGGTTGGTTCCTGGCCTAAAAGCAATGGAAAAATATCCTCTGTTGAGGATTAAAACAAAACAAAACACACCAATAGATTCTTTCCATGGTCTCCCAACACCCAGAGAGTCATCTGTCACATTAGGCATACCTCAGTCACAGCACATTCCTCTTGCACTTTTTATCTGGTCATTCAAGTTGATTTCAATGAAATGATCACCCAGTGAATCTCACGTTTGAAACTGGATCTTCATCTAGGTTTCAAAAAAATAAACAGGCCAAAATCTTAAAATGTCCGACCTCCTAGTAAGAATGGTCTTATGTTACTCCCAGAGCAGGAATTCATGGTACTGATAACCACTAAACTGAGGCTGAACAACTGAAGTCATCCGCTAATGGACTCCGATGCTCACCACCCCTTCTTAGCTTTCCTCTCCCTGCTGGGGTCCAAATCTATCTTTCATCAATTCTGACTCCTGGCTTCACAGGTAGGATGTTCTCATTTGCAAGGGTACTAAAAAGAAGCATGCTTACAGATAAATGCCACTGAACATAAAAGGCAAAGGCATCAATTCCACCTGTAACCAAATGCTCCTTTTTAGAGATCATACGGTGACATTAATGTCAATAGTTTGCAGCGGCCCTTCCCTACTGCAGCTGTGCCAGGAAGAGCTGCAGGAAGAGACCTGGGCCTTTCTGATACCTCACCTCAAGGAAGACTTTGGGCACAGGGTTGCAGGGTAGGAGTTGGTTCGTCTGTGGCATAGAAAGCCAAGTGGAAAACACAGCTGTATTTTCTGGCTCTGTCCCGGTTTCCCGAGAGCCCTTTGATGACTTACCCGTGACAGGCCTGAAGCGCCTGCAACGTGCACCATACATTAAAATGTAAATATTTTTCACCATTTGGGGGTGAGGGGTGGGAGAGAAGCTGGAAATAACCCTGGCGAGTCACTGTTCTTTCTCAGGTGGGTCGCGTTAAAATCTGGGATTAGCTTTCTCAAAAGCATGTCCTTCACATTATTGCAATAAATGGAACACACACTGTTTTCAAAGTCTCTACTGTCTATTGAATGCAAAAGCTCTATTCCAAAAACACGCCAACACGCCGTTTAATAACGTTCCTAAAAAGAACGGAATCTACCACAAATACGGACATGGAGTTAGGACTGGGTATCATCAGTCCAACCATCCTGCCCCAGGAGGGTTACATAAAGGGCCCCAACACACCTCCCCCCCTCCCCCTTTGAAGCCCAAGCTGAGGCCAAACCCCAGTGGGGCCCCCTGCCCCCCAAAGTGGAGCTGGGGAGGCCCGGGCCTACTTGGCAATGCGGAAAGTAAAACAACAGCAGATGGGTGATGCCTGCGCGGTGTTTAACACTATTACAGTCGGGAAACAAGTGGCGGCAGAAACCCTTTCCGGTTGGTCTCTCAGCCTCCGATGTTTCCACCTCACGGATTTCCTTCACGGAATCCAACCAGACGCCCCAAAAAGTCAGATGCGCCCCGAGTCGGGACAGGGCATGGAGAACGCGGAGAAGAGGACACCTACCTCCTCCCCACTCGCACACACGGCCCCCGGCTTCGCTCCGAGCGCCCACCAGCCACGCACCCCCCTCAGGCTCCCGACGACCTACAACGTACCCCGAGTCCAGCGGGCGCGGGCAACACTCAACGCCGCGGTTGTCAGCCGGTGTGCCGCGGCACCGCTGACACGTGCAGCTCGTTTACGCGGGGCACCGACCTCAGTTCCCTTCCACTGCCCAACACAACAACAGCACCCGGGGTGAATGAGTAAAAAATTCAGTCTAATCCCAAATTACATCAAAAATTATACCTTTTTTGTTTTATTATATCAGCAAAAAATACATATTTTTTGGTGTGCCGCAGAATTTTCGTTATTAGTTGATGTGCCCTGAGAGGAAAGGGGTGGGAAGTCGCTGCTCTAAGATTTATACGTATCGCACCCCCTTGGTCTCTTCGACCACCGCGCCGGGCAAGAGTGACCAGCTGTGCTCGGTAAACGCAGAAACCGCGGCGCCGCGACGGTACCCCAGCGGCCGAAGATCACAAAGCGGGGAAGGGAGCCGGGTTCCTCGGGGGCCCGATCCCAACACACGACTGAGATTGTCAATCGGCGCGAACCAGTCCCCACGACAAGGGTCAGTTTGCCCACTCGCAGGGCCCCGAGGAAGCCGATTCTGGGGGTGCTGCCGAGAGGAGCTGCAGCCGCCGCCTCCGAGAACCCGAGCGCC